CTCAGCAGTCAGATAATTCTGAAATGAATGCATACTGGTGACCAATATCCTGGCACGGAAATTATGGAAGGAAGGGCAGAACACCAAGCCTCTAGTTGAGAGGGATCTCGTATAGAGCATCTCCTGGAATTCTTGGGATACCTATCAAGACAGGGGTCTGGCAGGAAGGCCAAAGCAGGAAGTAGAAGGCCAATTGCATTCTGACTTTGTCGCTACCTTACTGGGCCACAACTGCCAAGTCATATTGTTTTCCTCCACCAAATATGGCCTTCCTTTTCCCTAAGTTTAAGTGAAGATCTCATAGGCTACCATTTTTACGTTAATAGCTAATAATGACAATAATCATTATCTTTTATTGAGGGCACACCACAAGCCAGGCACTGTGCTGAGAACTTTACATGCTGTCCCTATTTGAACCTCTCCCCCTTCAACTTGTCTATTGTTTTTATCACTTTGCAGATGATGAAATGCCAGAGAAGTTAAGTATGTGCAAAGCCATCCTTTAGTAAGTATCAGAGCAGGAATTCAAATTCAAGTGTGTCATCTGCCACTTCCAAAGCTCTTAACAATCTCTCACATGTGGGCAATGAATGGAGGCAATAATAAGGGTTGAAATCTCCTGAGAAGTGGCAGGGATCATGGATGGTGTTGCCAGGAGAGAGAAGCCACAGAGTCACAGAACTCTCTGGTGTCCTTTTCAAAGTCCTGAAAATGTCTGACTGCTCTGTAGACGGGTTCAGTTGCTGGCCCATTCTCATGACACATGGCTGCACCCTCCTCTTCCTCCAGTTCTGATGGTTTGTCCCCCAAGAAATTTACCTGGAATCTCCCTGTGTATGGGCCCACCTCCAGGCAGTTGGACCCATTAGACATCATTGGCATGGCAATGGGGATCTTTATTGTTTTTACGGACCTCCAAGAAAGTTTGAGGCCTGAAAATGCTTTTATTAACTCCACAATACAGAGAAGAAAACTACAACATTGAAATCAGTAAGTATTTAATTAAATGCAAAATGTAACATTATGTCAACTTCATTAACTGTTGAAGTTAGTAGTCATAAAAATTTCATTGCATTTAATAACAGTTTGTAGGTTGGAGTTTTCTCACTGTGTGAAATTTCCCAGGTAGGCACCAAGATAGGTGAGAAATCACAGCCAACCGTAAATTAAATAAATTACCCATGGCAAAAAGTTTTCAAAAGCAAAATGGCAAAAATCCTTTCAATTTGCTTTTACAGCCAAAAAGTTATGCTTATGGCGAGAGGTGGGTGTGTTTAAAATATGTCAGATGAAGGATAGGACCTACAAGAGTAAGCTGGCTTAGGGCCTAAGAAGATCTAGAAAGAGCACAGGCGATGCCCACCTTTCTGAATTCTCCAACCTACACGTTTGTGTCAGTGATGGAAGGCAGGTGAGTAGAGGTTCGGGCTGGAGAGTAGGTAGGAAAACTTCCTGGTTTTCCTGGTTCCAAATAGAAAAGCAAGAATCCCAGAACCCTAAATAATGGTAACTAAAATTCATTGGGTATGTAGCATGAGCCAAACTAACTACTCTAAGCACAGTAGCATGCATTATCTCAGTTGTCACAAAACAACTCTATGAGGTCAGTATTTTATTGTCTCTGTTTCACAGATGAGCAAACTGAGGATAAAGATGTCAAACAACCTGCCCAGGGTAATAGGGATAGTAAGGGATAATTTAAGAGTTTGTCCAAACTAAAAATAATTCATAGATGAAATGGTGTCCATGACTATTGAGTGCTTCACTTCAAGCTCTAAAGAAGTCAGGAGACCACACCTGTCTTCAAGGTTCTGTCTTCAGCACCTTGGACAGTACCAGGCACATGGATATATATGCTGGAGAACTATAACTACATGCTTAACAGAGGCTGGAATATGGTCAGTTTTTCCCACACCTGCTATGTACCAGGCACTTATGGAATGCTTTGATCCCTTCGCTAGCTTGTAACAGTGTCTAAGCTAGAGGTCTTATTCATCTCCCAGCCCTGAGCCTTGTACAATCTTGGCCCATGGTAGGTGCTCTAAAATGAAAAAGCCTAGAAAGGCTTAGTTGATGATTTGAGTCCATTCCTCCATCGCAGAGCAATTTCCTCAGCACAGCTAAAGTTCTCCCTCCCTACACAGAGCACAAAAGCTGCTATTTAGAAACTCCAGTGGCACACATTTCAATGTAATCAACAAGGAAACTAACATACAGCATTTTCATGTGTCTCTTATGTGCCAGGTGTTGTTCTAGGGACTTTCCATGTGTTAAGTAATTACTCAGTAATAGAACATCTATAACAATTCTACAAATCGGGTGTTCTTTATTATCATCCCATTTTACAGACGAAGAGACCAAGCTTTATGAGCTGAATGGTGTCCCTCCAAATTCATATGTTGAACTCCTAACCCCCCATACCCCAGATAGTGACTGTATTTGGAGATAGGACCTTTAAAGAGTGGTTAAGGTAAAATGAGGTCATTTGGATGGGTCCTAATCCAATATGGCTGGTGTCCTTATAAGAACAGGAGATTAGGAATCAGACAGGCAGTGAAGGAAGACCATATGAAGACATAGGGAGAAGACAGCCATCTATAAACCGACTAGAGAGGCCTCACAAGGAGCCAACTCTGCCAACACCTTGATCTTGGACTTCCAGCCTCCAGAACTGTGAGGAAATAAATTTTTGTTGTTTAAGTACTCCAGTCTGTGGTGGCAGCCCTAGAGAAGCAATAAACCAAGGCACAGAGTACCTTGCCTAAGCCTACATTGCCAGAAAACATGAACTCAGAATTTGAACCCAGGTAATCTGGCTCTAGAGTCTAGGTTTTGTGATGATGTGAATGTTCTCTGTGCTGTCCAAAATGGTAGCCACAAGCCACGTGTGGTGCTTGAAATATGGCTAATGTAACTAAGGAACTAAAATTTTAATTTAATTTACATTAAAATACAATTAAAATTAAAATAGCCACATGTGGCTAGTGGCTACCATATTGGATGTAGCTTTACACTGTTTCTAAGTACTTCACTTAAGTTTTTTGCAGAATCTTCTAGAAACCTCAGCTGTGCACTCCAAGAAACATGTCCCTATCTTTGTTCCCTATCCCTGCTGTATTTTATTTTTTTGCGTTCCTTTCTAATTTAGCCCCTGTTGCCTGATGTCCTGCTGAAGGGGAGAGAGAATGGGAGAAGGAGTGAGCGAGCTGGCTAACTCTCCAGAATCCCGTGGCCTGGGCAGTGCAAGGTCGTTGGCAGTCTGCTCTAAGCACAGGTGTTAGCCAACCAAATGCCAAGCCGCACAAACACTGAGTGACATTTTCAGAACTATTAATATTTCATCAGAAATGATCACTTTTCCTTTAAATACACTACCTTAAAAGGTTTTCTACATTCTTAACTATAATTTTATTCAGTCTAAGTCCTCGGAATTTTCCCCAAAGGAACACATCTTCAATTTTATAATGAAAATCAAAGGGGAGTGAAGCTTGAATTTCAAAATTTAGAGTCAACATTTCCAGGAACTCCGGTCCTCTGTAAAGAGCAAGGTTGTGTATTGGGCACCTACTGTATGCCAGGCACTTGGCATACTGCATACCATTGATTCACCCAACACACATTTACTGAGTGCCTACTATGTGCCAGAAATTTTATCTTCATTATAATTTATTGGCACCATTTTACAGAAAAGGGTTCCTTCTCATCCTGTTTCATCTCCAGTATTACTTCCCCAAAGAGGCCAGCCTGGAGGGCCATCTAACGCTGCCACTGCTCCCTCCCCACCGCCTCACTTTGTTGGTTAGTTTCCATCAGAGCCCTTATTTCATCCGTAATTATTGCTATTTCCTTGCCTTGCTGGTTTGTGATCCATCTCCCTCCCTAGAATATGGGCTCCAGGAGAGCAGGGAGTTTTGTTCACCTTCCAGCGACTCACCTGGCACAGAGGATGGCTCCGTCAATACTTGGGGACCGGATGAACGCATGAGCATGGAGAAGTTAAGACAGTTGTTAGGGTCACACAGCTCCGAAGTGGCAGTATCGGGTTCAACCCTTCATCTATGGACTGTCATATCGTCTATTTGCGGCCATTCTTCTTTCTTCTTTCCCGTCCTCTTGCTCTTCCTTTTCTGGGGAAACACCGGAGGAACAACCACTGACTCCTGTGGCCAGAGAGCCCCGGGCAGGCGGAGGGTCAGTTCCGAGATTAACGGAGTCTCTCCAGTGACGGGGGGAGCCCGCTGGGCAGCAAACCCTAAGTCAGCCCTTCTCTCTGCACCTCGGCCCTCGACCTCCCCTCCTACCGCCCGCCGCCCACCCCGGCACCCGCTGACCTCTGCGCAGGGGGGAACGGTCTATCTCAGCGGCTGAGAGCGGGATCAGGCCTGTGGGCCCGCGTTTGAATCCCAGCTCCCCGCTTCCCTGTGGGCCGTGGACACACCCCTTTAGGACTCTGAACTCGGTTTCCTCTAATGGACAACGACAATAAACAATGGTACTAACTTCATGAGCTCGTTAGGATTCAACATGACCACACAGAAAGCCCAGCACTCGGCACAGGGTAAGCGCCAGTGAAATGGCAGTTGGGGTAAAAACAGGGGAGCCAGGGGCAGGGCCCCGCAGGGCTGAGGTTTGGGCGGAGTGGCGGCGGAGCGAGGCGGGGCGCGGCGCCCTCGGCTTCTAACCGGGGAAGGCGCTCTGGGGTCCTCCGGGCCCCCACCCCCACCCCGCCGGAGGGCATGGGGCACCGAACCCGCGGCGCCCCGCGCACCGAGCCGTTGCGGTTGAAACCCACAGAAGGAATTCCAGCGCTGGACGGGAAGGGTGTGGGAGCCACTGGCTGGCAAATCGATCCAAGCCGCCCGGCCCGGCCCGCCTCGCCGAGGCGGCACCCTTTTAAGGCGTTGGGACCCTTCCCAGGCCAGTCCCAGGCCAGCGCGGGGGGCGCGGCCGGCGCCTGCTGGGGGCGCCGACCCCGGGGGCTGCGAGCGGCTGTGCGCTCGGCGGACTTCGTGCGGGGGCGGCCGAGCGGCGCTGGACAGGGGCCGGGAGGGGCAGCGGGGAGAGCCAGCCCGGCCGGCCGGCCGGGGCGGGGGCCGTTGGCCCTCGGAGCGCGCGGGGGTCCCTGGGAAGACCGAATGAGACTCTAATGAAGGGCTCCGGCCTGCACGGTGCCTAGCACAGCGCCAGGCGCTCACCCGGTCCTCCGCGAGGCTTAGCGGGCGACAATGGGCTGAGCCCCAGGCGCCGCAAGGTGTCACGGGCCTGTCGCAACGGGGCAGTGCCAGGGACCGTGGGGAGAGCCCGCCCTCCCCCTCCAGCTGTTCCCAGATGTCATCCTGCCCTTCCAGGCTCCTGGTTCCTGAGCTCAGGGGGATTCCACGGTTACTAAGCTACTGGTTTTTGTTGACTTTTAAATATTTTCTTCTAAGGGAGAGGGGGAGGGGGGCAAAAGTCAGGAAAGAGCAAATAAAAGCAAATCGAAATAAGCTCCTCTCCCCAAAAGAAAGTTGTCCTCCATCCACCACTCACACACAAATCGAAGGCCTCTGAGCACAGTCATCTTGCTGGAGCAACCTGCTTCTGCCCCATCCTCATTTCCCTTTTTGGTGAATGAGGGGTGGTGGTGGATGGTCCCCTTGTCTTCGAACCCTGGGTGGACAAAGGGGCTTCCGGAAAGAGAGGAGGAGGATGGCCAGTGGGAATGGGCTCCCTTCGTCGTCGGCCCTGGTGGCCAAGCGCCCCTCTGCCCTGGGCCCATTCCCCAGATACATCTGGATCCACCAGGACACGCCCCAAGACAGCCTCGACAAGACTTGCCATGAAATCTGGAAGAGAGTCCAGGGCCTGCCCGAGGCCTTGCAGCCCAGGACCTCGAAGGAGAAGCTCTCTACCCCCATGGCTGGGACTCCAGGAGACAACGTGCTCAGCTTCCAAGAAGAGTGAGTGTCCCCCAACATGGTGGGCATCAAGGGAGGAGGGAGGAGATGAGGTCTCACCTTCTGGGGGAATGTTCTGGCCCACTGTTTAGTCTGGTTCAACCCTAAAGGCTGTATACTTTTTCTCCACCCCCATGGTCCTTTGGCCAATTTTTATAGGAGAGTTAACTGGGGTCCTGAAGTTACTTTGGTGACGGGCCAGACTAGGGCTGAATTTTTGCTGCCTCTTCACCAGCCTACAAGGGGACATTTCTCATCCTTAAGTCATAGGCATCTGAGATGTAGACCTGAGGACCTTGAAAAACCACCTTAGTCAGGGCTGAGCATTAGATACCACAGTTTTCCCACAAGGCAACTAAAAGATCCTTCCCCCTCCTGCCTCCAAAGGCTAGGCATTGGCACAGATGAGTCTGGTGGTTTTAAACCACATCTGGAATTCCCTAATACAGGGAGCAGCTGTCCCATTCAGCCTCCACAGAAGCTGCTGCAAGAGCACACATCAAAATATTTACTGGGAAGGCACTGACATATTCAGAGGACATAATAGAAAATTAACGTGCGGGAAGATGGCTGTAAATAGCCCGTTTCCTAGTTGGGAAATCCTGTGTCTGGGAAACACAGAGCTAAGTGTTTCTCCGCCGGGGCAAAGTTGGACAGATATTGTTGGGGATGGATATTTACAAGGAGAGGAAGGAGGGACCTGGTTAGGAAAAGCAAGTGAATCCGCCGTGGTTATTAATGTCACTGTTGAGCATTTGTTCAATGCTTTGCGTCTTCAAAGAGGGCTGCCAGCATTAATTAACCCTCCTGAAGTCCTAGGAGGCAGGTATTAGTGTCCCCATTTTACAGATGGATTAAGTGTTAATAATTAAGTGGTAATTAAAGACTAAGTGATAATTAAGTGTTGCCTGTGCTAACACATGCTCCAGCTCAGTTCAGAGATGCTCTGGAGTGGGGGAACCATTCAGGCAATTATCAGCTGGTCTGGTTTCAGGGAATTCTATGCAAGAGCAAGAAGACAGGCAAAGGGTAACTGCTGCCCAAGTCTGCACGACCTGCCGTCCCTTTTCAGGCTCACATACTTGCTGCAGATGAAGGTGGAAGGCACCTTGGCTGTTATTGCCTCCCCTGCCCTGTGCTCAGCAAGACATGGCTGGGATGGGAATGGCCTTTCTGCAGCCAAAATCCCACTGTCCGGCCCTCCGTGGTACTGAGTCCCTCTCCCCTGCCCATTGCCATCTGCTCTGGGACCGGCCCTTGGCAGGGGGCCCGTGGGGCTGTGCTCAGCTCTCAATGGCCAAGGAGCTGATTGTCCACTTTGTGGAACAAGGGTCAGTGGCAATTTCCAGTAGATGGCACCATCTCTGCCAGGTCACATTGAGTTAATGGAGACAGCCTCTATTTCCAGTCCGCACTTGGCCGAAAAGCGACCTGGCGCACCTTTGGCCAGTTGCTTAACTCCATTTGGCCTTGATTTTTTCATCTGCAAATTGAGGATGATATGCCCTGCCTTGTCCACCTCAGAGCTGATAATGAGGATCAAATGTGATGAGAGACAGGAAACGGAGAGCTGCGTTATACAAATGAGGCTGTCCTTAAGTGTAATTCTCAGGGTTCGGAGGTTTTTGTTGTTGTTGTTGTTGTTGGCTTCAGTCTGGGGTTTTCACACTATGCTCATAAACCCTAGGGTGCTTCAGGGGCCACCCTAGAGTCAAGTGGCCTGATTGGTGGGCCCCATCCCCATTTCAGCCAGAGCTGTTTGGCTTTTATGGGTTTTACTTACTGGAGTTCTAAGTAAAGGCTGCCTTTGAAAAAAGAGTTTTGCTACTGAGAAAAGAGCTGGGAAACCACTGACTTAGATGAATAAACGATATCATAATCATGTAGATATCAACCGAGTAGAACACAATGAGCTATTCTTGAAATAAAGGCAGCTGCGATGGTGCAGTCAGATAACTCTGGTTTTAGCTCGCATTTCAGCCCTGCACCAGCTGCAGGATTTGTTTAATTTATGTGAGCTTTAGTTTCCTCATCTGCCAAATGGAGATGATTGCTAGGCATTTCACAGGGTTGTTGGGATGATTAAATGGGATATTTAAACATTTCCAGTAATAACTAGGATTTGTATAAATTCCTTGTAATAATGATGATGATGATTTCTTTAAGCCCTACAATTATTACATGAGGTAGGTACTATTTTAAACTCCCCCTCTTTCTACTTTTTATTATGCAAATTCAAATGCATAAAATAGAATAGTATAGTCAATGTCTATGTGTCTATCACTGAGTTTCATTAATTATCAAATTTGTGCCATTCTTGTTTCAATTCCTTCCTCCCCTGTTTTTAAATAAAATCCTTTTCACAGATGAGGTGATAGGATTGGAGGGGTTAATTTCTTTGCCTGAAATCCTACAATTAGGAAGTGGTGGAGTTTCAGAAAGCAAACCCAGGACCTTAGCCACTACGCGACAGCATTGGCTATCTTCCCCTAGAAATTGAGCGTCTTTTAGGATGGTCAAAACATTTAGCAGTCCCACATTCTGAATGATCGCACATGGATAACAGATTTCAAATCCAGGGAGCTGTCCAGCATATTTCTAGGATGGCTTCAGACCCACAAGACACCTCTCAGCTAATTTTTCCACTGCCTAATTTGCAGACCTGGTTTTGATGATGTTTTCTGCTACCTGGGTGGCTAGATAAATAAGTTCTAGAACTCTTGTTAGCCAGAATTTTTTCTTGACTCTGCCCCTATATATCATGGAAACCCAGACATCTCAAGTTTGAAAGGGATCTTGGAGGCCATCTTCTGCTGCTTGAATCCCATCCTCAACGTTCTTGCCAAGTGGTTATCCACTTGCACACTTCCTTAGACAGGTAGCTCACCACTTCCTAAGGTAGCCCCCTCCCTTGCTATGGACCCTGAGCATCAAAAGACCATTTCCTTCCTGTACTGAAATCTGTCTCTATCAAACTAATACCCATTGATCTAGATTCTGCCCTTAGGGCTCCAAACCAAATCTATCCCCTTTTTCTCAATAGCCCTTTAGATATTAAAAGAGGGCAACAGTATTCTTCTTAGGACTTGTTGTTTATACAAGCTGAATACCTCTGCTTTTCTAAGTTTCCGCTCACATGCACACTGCTGGGCCCTGTGGCAGTGCAGTAAGCAGAACTGAGTACAGAGAGCAGATGGGCTCCTCTGTTTACATTCTGTATTCCTGGTAATGGCAATTAACACCACATTCACTCTTCTCCCCAAGCCAACCTCACTCTCTGGACACGTTTTTTGAGTTCATTCATTCATTCATTCAATTAAGCAATCAGCAAGTATTTATTAAGCATCCACTATGTGCCTGGCACTATGCTAAGAGCTAGTGGGATAGAGCTGTGACCCAGATAAGGCCTCGCCTCCCTAGAGTTTCTATTCAAGTAGGGGAGAGAAACAGAAAACAAGTAACTAAAAGACTATGAAAGCTTCAGAATATGAAAAGAACTGGTATTCCAGTTGGAGGAAACCAGTAATAAACACACGAAAATAAACCAGATAATTTCAGGTAGCAATGAGTGCTCCAGTGGAAGTAAAACTGGGTAAAGTCCTAGGGAGAGCGTGTTTAGATAGGGCGGTCAGGGAAGGACTCTCTGAGGACAGGAGTCATTTGAGCTGAGACTTGGGTACCAAGAAGGAGCCAGTCAGGTGATGATCCAGAGGAAGGAGGTCCAGGCAGAGGGAGAGCAACTGCCAAGACGCTGAGGTGGGAGCAAGCTTGGAGGGGAACAGTGTGGCTGGGGTGCAATGAATGATGGGACTTGGGACAAGGTGATATCAGAGGCTGGAAGGCCTAGAGGATCACTGTAGGGAGTTCAGATTTGATTCTCCGTGGAATGGGACACCTGTGGAGTTTTTAGGAAGGAGTGTAATGTGATCACATTCACTAGTCTTTAAGGATCTCTCCAGTTGCCGTGGGTTTGTAGGCAGGTGAGAGAGGAAGTTGGGAGCCTCTGGGAAGGTGCTACATCCAGGTGAGGCACGATGGTGATGGTGGCTGGCTCAGAGAGATTGCAGTGGAGATGGAAAAAGTGGGGCATTCGGTGTATATTTTGAGAGGAGCCAAGAGACCTCGGATGACATGGAGCACTCAAACAGAGACATCAAGGCTGAATCCAGGATTTTGACTTGAGGCACTGGTTGGACAGTGGTACCATTTGCCAAGGTGGGGAAGAAATGGGGAGAAATGGGCTTTTAGGGAGAAATCAATAGTTCTGTCTAGTGTCAATTAAACTCCAGGATCTTGTTCAGTTATCTTTTAATTAGTCTTAAATTTGGGATTAGAGAATTGTGGCAAGCCACTTACTCACTCATATTCTAGGACTAATTATTCATTCTTTCCCCTCGTAGCTAACACTTCACAGCCTCAGAATGGGGACTTTGGATTTGCTATTGACTCCACTGCCCTGACTGTGAAGTGGCCTTTGTTCAGTCCTTCATTTATGGATTCACTCAACAAACACACACAGTTGCCTTCTCAGTGCCAGGCCCTGTGCTAGGTCCCAGGGATACAGAGATAAGTAGGACAGAAGCCCTTCCCTCAAAGAGCTCCCAGTCTAGTGGGTGAGATGGACACAGATACATCAGACAGCAATGGCATTCAACAAATACTTGTTGTGCACCTATTGCATGCCAGACAAAGTATGAAAATGATACAATGGTGGAAAAGATGGGGACAGTCTCTGACCTCCTTCATGGACCTTCAGTGTCTTGAGCAAGGCAGATCACAACATATTATAATAAATGTTCCAATGAAGAAGTAGTAGTGCTGTGGGAGCACACTGAGGGGGACACATGACTTGGGCTTGGGGCTCAGGGAAGGCTTCCTGGAGAAGTCTAGGGGAGGCGAGCTGGAAAGTCAAGAGATGAGACCCTTGCACTATGAGTGTTATGAAAGAGGGGCATATAGCTCCCTAGGAGCAGAGGATGGCAGGATTGATTATCCCTGCAAGA